TTAATTCATTCCGGAGGTCCGTTCTTAACCTGAAACTGTTCTTAACCTGAAGCACCACTTTAGCTAATGGCGCCTCCCGCTGCCGTCGCGCTGCCAGAGCATGATTTCTGTTCTCATCCTGAAGCAAAGTTCTTAACCTGAGATACTATTTCTGGGTTAGCGGTGTCTGTAACCTGAAGCGAATGTAACCTGAAGCGTATGTAACCTGAGGTACCACTGTACTCTGTTTTCTTCGCCTTTCATGTTACTCCTATTCTCATAACCTTGACCACATAGATTCTCAACTGGGAGTCCCATTTGCTCAAGCTGTCCAAAAAGAGTTTCTGTTGTAAAGGCATCTGTAGTCTCCTTTAGTGGAACAAATATGAGGTCCGCAGGAGCAGACCTTGCATTATCTGGTAGTTTGATTACATCAACGTTACGTACAACAATTCTCATTTGTATGCTTTCTTGTCTGAGCCGGCGGGGGGTGGGGGTGGGGCTTTCTACTCTAGAAATGGGAAGGAAGTGTTTGGTTTATTTGGTTTATTTATTGAAATCAAAGGGCATCTTCTTTATTACACAGGCGTTTGATGGCTAACAGACAATGTTCCTGACAATCTGGCTGAGAAAAAGTTTTAAACAGTTTTGAGAATTTTTGTTCTAGCATTGTTGCATCTGCCACCCAGGGCTCCTTCAGGAGAAAGGGCAGTATTTAAGTCAAATTGTCATCATCATTTTAACAACAATTAAAGGATCTGGAATGGGACAGATTTCTCAGATGACAATAAAGATTATAGTGCCAAGTGATTCTTTTTAAAAAAAACAACCACCCCACAAGTTGAATTAAAGGGAAACATTTTATTGAGCAATCTTCTCTTATGGTCACGGAAGCAACTGCTCATTATGACTTTCTTTCAGGTAGACATTGGCTTCCAAACTTTATTGTCCAGTCACTCTGAGGAGTTTTGAACAATGGCTGAGGGAGAGATTTTAAGGTATCAACCTTTGCTCAGGAATTTCACATGGCAGACAGAAGGAACCCGGCTGGGAGCATATCAGGACAGCACACTACATGACATTCTGAGATCATTAAGTTTTCATCTGAGCATTAAACATTAACCAATAAACCAGAAGGTAAATGGTAAAGAATGGAAGGAGAAATTGTTTTGCTTTTGATTAAAAGAGAACTCCCTAACAAGATGTTCTTCTTCTGAAATGTTTTAATTTAGAGGCTCTTGATAGTCACCACACTTATCAAATACCAATTGCTAATGAGATCATAAGCCCTGAGTAGCTGGCGTGAATAACAATAATAATAATATAAAGGTTATTTAATCATCAAAGCAAGGAGGCATTCTTCCATTTAAGAGAAATTTGTTCTAATGCCCAGATAGAACTGAACAGAACTGCAATAATTGCTTGAATACAGCGAGTCCAGGCTCTGGTGGATAGGATTACAGACAAATATCCACTGTAATCCTGGACTGGAGAACCTGAGGCACGGGGGCCAGAATGTGGCCCTCTCTATCTGGCCCCCAGAACTCTTCCCAAGCCAACCATCGCCCAAAGCCCCACACCTAGAGGGCTTTGGCCTGGCCGGAATGTGTGCTTGATCTCCAACCATACCTCTTGCTTGTTCAGAGAGATAAAAGACAAGATGTGTATAGAAATGAGCCTACGGCATAAGGTAAGAGACTCATTCGTCGCTCTGCTCACTTTTGCCTCTGGCCCCACACCCCTTAGACCTGTGGTCCTCAGCAGTGAAGGCAGCCCTCAGGCTGAAAAGGGTTTCTTACCTTTGTCCTATCCCATTCTATTCTTGAGAGCCTTCTCAACTGTCTGGTGTGCCCCAAGCCCACTGTGGTGGTGTAGTGGTTAAGAGCGGTGGACTTGTAATCTGGTGAACCAGGTTCACTTCCCCGCTCCTCCACATGCAGCTGCTGGGTGACCTTGGGCGAGTCACACTTCTCTGAAGTCTCTCAGCCTCACTCACCTCACAGAGTGTTTGTTGTGGGGGAGGAAGGGAAAGGAGATTGTTAGCCGCTTTGGGACTCTTAAAGGGAGTGAAAGCCGGGCTATCAAATCCAAACTCTTCTTCTTCTTCTTCTTCCACTGCTCATGTTATATGTGAAAAGGCAAACTCTGTTCAAAGGGGCTGTGAAGTTGTGCATTAGCCTCCCCTGGGATACTGTGGAGCTCCTTTTGCAGACACTCCAAGTGCCCCTATTTTCCAGGGACAGTCTCAGATTTACCGAAGCCATCCAGGGTTTCTGATTTGATCCCAAAATGTCCCACTTTTCATTAGGACATCCCTATCTTCATCAGAGAAACTATGGTGGGTATGGAGTTGCCCAACCCATGAGCCAAGGAGATAAGTAACTACACGACCTTTAGAAGACATCTGAAGGCAGCTCTTTATAGTGAAGTTTTTAAAACGTTTGATTTTATATATATATATGTTGGAAACCACCCAGAGTGGCTTGGGCAATTCAGTCAGATGTGTGGGGTATAAGTAGTAAATTATTGTTATGAAATGAGACGTCCCTATTTTCATCAGAGTAATGTTGGAGGGTGTGAATCTGAAACTGGGACGGCTTCTGTAAATCCAGGACTGTCCCTGGAAAATAGGGACACTTGGACATGTCTACTCAGAAGTCAACCCCACTGAGTTCAATAAGACTTACTCTGCGGCATAGGGTTGTAGCTCTGGTTGTGAACACACACACACTTCCCAAGAACATAGAGGAAGCCAAAGGCTAATTTAGTCCAGCATCCTGTTCTCACATTGGCTGACCAGAGACCTGTTTGCCACACCAGTCTAGCCCTCACCGCTGCTTCAGGGATACATTCAGGCTGCTCTGGAAGCCCTGCGCAGCTTTGCAAGGCGCTGGAGCCGAGGGGAAGGGCAACAACACTACCACCACCCTCTCTTCGCCCCCCGGTCAGGCTTGACCCGGGAGTGGAGCTGTGGCCAGCTGGCAGCACTGGGCCATAGCACTGGTCGTGCCCCCTAAAAAAAAATGCCCTGGGCCAAGTCTGCCATGCTATGCCACTGCTTGAGGGTTGATCTCATGGAAGCAGACACATTCTTCAGGTTTCACCACAACCACCGGGCCTTCACTCAATGCATGGAAAACATCAGAGAGGGCCTGGGGGCAGAGTGAGCAGATAGACTCTCTCTCTCGCTCAGTGAGATGTCAACTGTGTGGAGACAGAGTTCCTGAAGAAGGCTTCTTGGATTGGTAAAGGTCTCATGGGATCATCCACTGCTCCTTCATTAGAGTGGAAGTGATTATATCCCAGTGCTCCAAGCTGCCACACTGCTCTAACAGTGTTGCGCTAGAAGGGCCATAGCTCAGGTAGAACATCTGCTTTTCATGCATAAAGTCCCAGATTCAATCCCTGGCATCTCCAGGGAGGACTGGGAGAGTTTCCCTGCCTGAAACCCTGGGAAGTTGCTGCCTGTCCTGTCACTGCTGACAATAGTGAGCTAGATGGACCATTTCTCATGTTCTTGAATGAGACCATCCATCCAGGACTGCTGCAGTCACTGTCAATGGTGCTATGTTTGTAGTAATCCCATTGTAATCCCATGTAAGGTCCCTTACCTTTCCCACCCCGACCTGGCCACAGTGATCCATGGTCACCTCCAGGCTTGACTACTGTAATTTGCTCTACACAGGGCTGCCCTTGAAGCTGTCCCAGAAACTCCAGCGGGTGCAGAATGCTGCAGCGAGGCTCCTCACGGGGTCTCTGCCATAGGAGTATATTCACCCAGTGCTTTCCCAGTTGCACTGGCTCCCGGTGGAGTACAGGGTCAGATTTAAGGTGCTGGTTTTGACTTTTAAAGCCCTTCACGTCCTAGGACCCTTGTACCTACGGGATCGCCTCTCCTGGTATGCCCCACGGAGAGCCTCAAGGTCCATATATAGCAACACCCTAGAGGTCCCGGGCCCTAAGGAAGTTAGAGTAACCTCAACCAGAGCCAGGGCCTTCTCAACACTGGCTCCAGCCTGGTGGAATGCTCTGTCTCTTGAGACCAGGGCCCTGCGGGATCTGATCTGTTTCCGCAGGGCCTGTAAGACAGAGTTGTTCCACCTGGCCTTTGGCTCAGAATCAGTTTGATTCCCTCCCCCTTTTTCTTTTTCCTTTCTCCTCCTATGATGAGATTGCTCCCTAATTGTTTTAATGTTGTATCTTAATCTTTTAAATTGTATTTTAATCAACTAGTTTTTATTATTGGTTGTTAGCAGCCCTGAGCTCAGTCTTGGCTGGGGAGAGCGGGGTATAAATAAATTATTATTATTATTATTATTATTATTATTATTATTATTATTATTAGTGTCTCTGGTGTGGCCCAAGAGAGCTGCTTAATAATAACCACATTGTTGCTTGCTGGGTTTTAAAGAAAAAGAGAGACCAGAGAAGTACAGATCTTATTAGCTTTTTTATTATGCTCCTCAGATGGAGAGTGCATTAATATATTTAATAGCAGCAGTATATCATGCTATGCCCAGACAGCTCCTTCTAGTCCCTGTCATCCACCGGCTCCATCGTCAGCTGTACTGCATCCATGCATAGGGCACAGGACCTACTCTTGAAACTGCTTCCTAAGAGGAAGTTAGGCTTCAACAATTTCCTGCATTTTATAAATGGTGACTCGGTAGCTTGCCAAGCTTTTAGCAGGTTCTTCTTCCTCCTGGATATATTACAAGACTAATTCTGCTATGCCACAGAGTCATTGCAAATACCACAGTTCAAAAGGCATGGGCTGCATACACACAACATATTAATTTAGAACCGGTGGAGACTGAATAATTATTTTTTGATGCAATCCACAAACATCCTAGATGTATTGTGTATTTCTGATGAACAGCTGAGTCAGACCAGAGTCTGGTGATGCAGTGCCCCAAAATTCCACCAAAGGGCTGGAACCTCTCTCTGATTGGCTACCAAGACAGTTAGTCACAGGTTGGGGTGGAGCCAGCACTTTGGGAGGGAGAATAAAAGGAGCAGTTTCTAAGGAAGTCTGAGGAGGACAGATGGTTTCGGGAAGGAGAGTTACGGAATTGGTTTTGTGTGTATAGCATCTACTCTGAGGAGGATATCTAAAGCTAGAGAAAGGAGTCTCTGAGCTTAGGTAGGAAGGACAATGCGTAGTGTCCTGTGAGAGTATTGAAACAAGAGTTAATGGGAGGGCCGAGTTTGAACAAGGAGAAGTAGAAGCTGTGAGGACACCATCTACTTGTGTCTCATTCCTGTCAGGAAAAGACTGTTCTTCTAGATAGAGAAGACCCCCAAACCAGTTAAGGGGAGTGTAGTGATCCCCTGGGTCTGTTACATGATTTGAAGTACCTCAGGAGTGTGATTGTTAAAAGGTTGGGCAAGTGACAGATAGTACCAAGGTATTAAGCTGCAACACTGAAATGATTAAGTTTAAGAAACTGAAGCAACAGAAACGGAAGTAACAGAATCCAAGCTCCTCCCTTCACCAACTGTCACCTGGCAACAGCTATTCCGTCAGCCTGTGGTAGAGGAGGGAAAGAAAAACACAGCTAAGAGATCAGCAGCTTTGGGCTTCTCTGCCTGTGGCATGAGTTACATGGAGATGTCATGGGGGAGATGGTCAGATCCTGATGAGCTCCAGTAGTTGGATCTGAATGACCTTGAAATCAGGACCCCAAGAAATGTCTGAGCCCAGGAAAAGGGTCACTAGTCTCAGAGAGGGGGGAATCCCCATTGTGTTAGAGGAAGTCCCTTTGTGGGCTTCCTTCCAATGCAATCTGAACCAGATTTCTCCCGATCCCAACTTGTGTTGCTTAGTTCCTCCCCTTCTTGGCCCGTTCTCCATTTGTATTTTGTGTTTTTCAGTTGTAAGCCTGGGGACAAGGACTGTCTTGTTTGAAACAATCTGTAAGCCACTCCATAAGAGGTTAATCTGTAAGCCACTTCCAAGTCCCACTACATTCACTGGGGATGTAGTTTCAGGTAAGATATAAGAATACCATAGTTATGGACTAGCTAAAGGAGGAGTCTTTACCTTATCTAGTGACAAGCTAAACAGGCCTCATTAAACACTGCATATATCTCTGTCACGTTAGATGTCTTCAAGAACTAGAACCTTAATAATTTGAATGAGAATTTTAAAATAATGAATATATGGTAAGCATATATTATCAGGCTATAATTATAAGGCTATAATTGGAGCAGGAAAATTCAGTGACATAATGACATAAGAATGAATCTGAAGCAGCTATTATTTAAGGTATTTTTTTATTTTCTAAATGCCACTGGAGCTGAATCGTTCACAATGTCACTGAGGTGAATTTTTCAGGTATATTAACACAAGTGGAACAGACTGACCTAAATTAAACTTTTGGCAAACTTTGAAGCCATTAACGCTTGGTTGATGGAGCACGGCTTGGAGCGTTAAGTTAGAAGCCATATGTTTCCATGTCCCATTTGTGGGGACAATAAAATCTTTAGGATTTCATTGATGAACAGTGTGTACACCGAATCAAAGCTCCTAAAAAGAAATGAGTTTGGATAAACAAAGCAATAAGAAGTTATCTGGATATTGGTGACCTTGAACTCCTTTAACTTCATTTAGTTGAAACCGCTTTCTTTTTTCTTTTTTCCCCTTTTTTATTGAATTTAATTGATAACAAAACATTCTTATATATGGTATTTCAAAAAATTACAAATAAAAGTCAGTTCATTCGTATACAATACAATTCACCATACTTGACTACATATGACTTCCTGACCCCCCCCAATGTATTTACCATTTCTATTTTCCAATTATACAAATAACTATTACTTTATTCTATTTATAATATCTCATAATTTCTTACAAGTTTTGTACCCTTTTGTTTTTTTATCATTCATATACACAGAAATCATTCAAAAGCTACCATAGAGACCACACCACTATTGTAGTTCATTAAATATTTCTTAAACATGTCCCATTTTTGAATAAAATTTTGATTTATCTTGCCTCTCAGCCTATTTGTCATATGAGCCATTTCAGCAAACTCTACTAATTTATTCTGCCAATCTGTTTTTGTAGGAACCCTCTCCCCCTTACAGTTCATTGCAATCAGAATTCTTGCGGCCGCAGTTGCATACAAAAAAAAATATTTTAGATTTTTTGGTATCTCTCTGCCTACGATTCCTTTTTTATATATATATAATTTTTATTAACAAACCAATCAAATCACATTAATTCCAAATTACAGAGCCAAATTTTTAAATTTTTGTTGGGGGTACCCATGCTTCGAGCTCAGAAAGGGATCCAAACATCTCTATTGCTGCTGCTTTAATATCCACAGTTCTGTCCAAATAGTATTCACAGTTCTGTCCAATCTTCTCTTTATTGTTTTCCTCATCTTCTTGTTGTTATAATATATTCCTTTCTTTGTGACCTCTGATAGTCTCCACAAGCGGGTTGAAAACAAACGTTGTTATAGTCCTGTGTAGATTTTCCATTCCTCCAAGAGCCATATTCAAACAGACAGACGCCATTTCAGCACTTCTGCACAAAACATGCCCATTAATCCTCGCAGGCCTGTCACTCTCTCCTCGATCTTCTTAGGGGGTTCTGCCAGGTCAAACTCACAGTCCAATATGATAACAAAACCATGGTCTCCTCCCCCTCGATCGTAAATCCTGCAACCAGGCCTGCTTCCTAGCGAGTCTCTTTTTATAACTGCGTCATTCCAAAGGCCTTTCATTCCTTTCCAGATATTCCACAAACCATGTCTTTGATTAGTAATTCATTTCCACACAGTTCTTAATCATCCCGCTTATAATCAGTAGTTGCAACGATTCTTCTTGGGGGGGGGGATTGTTAGATAATCACATAAGATAAAAAAAGAAAAGTTCCCCCCCATTCCATCCTGTTCCAACATACCGACACTTTGATGTGTCTTCTTCTTGATATATTTTCCTGTTGAATCCAGCCCGTCGCTCGACTTCACAGAGGTCACTTCACATAGCAGTCTCAACTCCCATTCTTCACTCGAAACATGTGCATTTGCTGCTCTCTAATTGTTTATTTTGAGCTGCTGCAACCAGGCGCGCTATCGGAGACAGCGTCCGGGAGAGCTGAGAACCCACACAAGGGCTGTGTGCCTAGTGCCCTCACCCCCTGCATCTTTCGAACTCGGGGGTGATTTATCGGCACCGCAGGCAAAGGCAGTGTTTCCCCATTCCCTGGGGTAACAAGGGAGGCTGCATACTCCCATATCAGCCTCTTAATTTCCTCGTGTGAGCTGGAGAGATGGTATTGTCGGCCATCTTCCAATGCACCCCTAGCGGCCCCCCTCTGCCTACAATTCCAAGTAAAAAGGCCTCCGGGTTTTTTGGGAAATGTTACTTTTTTAAAAAAAATTCAGTTCGTCATATATAACATTCAAAACTCTTTGATTTTTTTACATGTCCATGTCCACCACATGTGGAGCATGTTGCCTTCAGATTCCCCGCACCGCCAATATTTGTTTGAAATATTTTTGTACAGCTTAGATAACTTTGATGGCGTGAAATACTGCATCTTCATTAGGTTTTCCTTGATGGCATAACAGGCAGTAAATATAATATTTACTTTCCAAAGGTTCTCCCAGTTGCTCATCGGAATGCTGTGTCCAAAGTCCTAGGCCCACTTAAACCATTATTGATTTTGCCTCCTCCTCCTTGACTTCCCAGTCAAGGAGGAGTCGGTAAAAATTTGGAAAGTAGCTTGGTTTTGTTATTTAGCAAATCTCTTTCCAGTTTTGAGGGCTTTATGGCAAAGCTGGGTTTTTTTATCTTGTTTAAAGGTATCATTAAGTTGATGATACTGTAGCCATCCTGCGAGAAGTTCTTTGATATCCTCATAGTTCTTTAACTTTAATTGATTCCCTTCCTCTTTCAACAGTGATTTATACATCAGCCAACCTCCTCTCATATTCTTTTTCTTAACCGCCTTTGCTTCCAAAGGTGATATCCACCATGGTGTTTTTGGTTCAATTAAATCTTTATATTTAACCCATGTCATGTATAATGCTTTTCTTACAATATGGTTTAGGAAGCCCTTATGTATCTTAGTCTTCCCATAATTGAGGTAGGCATGCCAACCAAATCGGTTGTCATGCCCCTCCAAGTCTAGCAAATCCGTATTCTGGAGTAAACACCACTCCCTAATCCATGTGAAACAGGCTGCTGCATAGTAAAGTTTTAGATCTGGTAGTCGGAATCCCCACCCCCCTTTAATGTCAATTAACAAAGTGTGTTCTATTCTAGGCCTTCGTCCTTGCCAGATAAATTTGGATATATCCTTTTGCCAATTAGATTGGGATGGATCGGAAAAGGAAAAGCATTTTTGGCTGGGCATTCATTTTAATCATTGATATCCGCCCCCATAGGGGTAATTTCAAACTACTCAGATCTCCAGATGTCTGTTAATTTCAGACCAGGTCTTAATATAATTGTCTTGATATAGATAAATATTTTTTGCTGTTATCCAAATTCCAAGATATTTCACCTTTCAAGAGATTTTCTAATTTGTTTGTATTTCTAGTTCTTCTTTTTCTTGGGCTGCGAGGTTTTTGACCAAAACTTTTGTTTTGGTATTATTTAATTTGAAACCCATTACATTACCATAATTGTGAATTATTTTCAGTGTTTTTAACAGACTTTCTCTTGGATTTTCAGTTGTGATAGTTGAAGCCACTTCATTTGGTTCCAAGATGTCTGATATTCTTCTTGGGTGCTTTTGTTTGTTGATTTATTTGAGTTTTCTAGCTAATCTCAGCCATAGTGTCAAGGGTAACAACACTTCAATCATGTGGCTTATAAAAAGGTGCACACACCGCATTGTACACATGGCATGAGTTAGATGTAAATAGCAGATATCAGCTAATTCCAATGTAAATATGGTCCTCTCATGGAACTGTACTTTATTAGTAACGTATGTCACCTGTTCGAAAACATCATCATGTCATACTTGTGCCACACATGTAATGTTCTCTGCTGTACAAACTTTGTACAGTGGTACCTCAGGTTAAAAACTTAATTCGTTCCGGAGGTCTGTTCTTAACCTGAAACTGTTCTTAACCTGAAGCACCACTTTAGCTAATGGGGCCTCCTGCTGCCACTGCGCCTCCAGAGCACAATTTCTGTTCTCATCCTGAAGCAAAGTTCTTAACCTGAGGTACTATTTCTGGGTTAGCAGAGTCTGTAACCTGAAGCATCTCTAACCTGAAGCGTATGTAACCCGAGGTACCACTGTAGATGATGCATCAGTGGTTTTCAACCAGTGTGTCGTGAAGAGGAAGAAGAAAAAGAAGAGGAGGAGGAGGAGGAGGAGGAAGAAGAAGAAGAAGAAGAAGAAGAAGAAGAAGAAGAAGAAGAAGAAGAAGAAGAAGAGAGTTTGGATTTGATATCCCGCTTTATCACTACCCTAAGGAGTCTCAAAGCGGCTAACATTCTCCTTTCCCTTCCTCCCCCACAACAAACACTCTGTGAGGTGAGTGGGGCTGAGAGACTTCAGAGAAGTGTGACTGGCCCAAGGTCACCCAGCAGCTGCATGTGGAGGAGCGGGGACGCAAACCCGGTTCACCAGATTACGAGTCCACTGCTCTTAACCACTACACCACACTATCAGGGATGCTCTTAACCACTAAACCACACTGGTCAGGGGTGCCATGGGCAACACTGGCCTCTGTCCCTCTTTCCTTCCCTCCCTCCTCTAATGCCCACTCATGTCTCTGGCTCCCAAAGGCTTGCACAGCTGTTTGTTGTAGCAACCCTGGCTACAAGCTCCCCAGGAGAATGGTGCCTCTGGGGCTGGCCCGGGGGTGCTTCCCAGGCCCCTGTGGGGCAGTGTGAGGAGGCAGCTCTCTTTGGGGTAGGGGTGGCAGCTCAAAGACCAGGGGTAGCAGCTACGGCTGCCCAGAGCACTCCCAAGGAGAGGGGAGAAGAGAGGAGGCTGAGAGAATCAGCCACAAGGAAGGGGTGAGGGGCTACCAGCTCTGAAGGTAAGGCGTGATATAACTGGGCAGAAATGACCGGCAGAATCCGAGACCAGGGAGAAGAGTCGGTGGAAGAAGATTGGAAGAAATTTAAAGACTATCTACAGAAATATTGTAAAATTAATGAATGTTAGAATGATGTTGGATAAAAAGTTAAGTGGTTTTTAGCTATAAGGAATATGAAAAAAATGGATTATTAACAGGTTAAAAATTTAATGTTACAATATTTTAAGATTAAAAATTAGGATAAACAAAGAGGGAAAGGATTTGCTGAACTTATAAATTGAATTGGAATACAAAAAAGGGAGGTGTGAGGAGGTCCGGGAAACAAGAAAATGAAAGATAAGTGATGGAAAGATGGAATTGTGTTTTTTAACTATTTTTATTTTGTATTTTTCTTTTTTTTTCATTTTGTAATACTTTGGGAAATTTAATAAATATCTTTTTTTAAAAAAGATATAACTGGGCTTCTGAGCCCCACAGGGGTGCCACAGAGAGAATGTCTGGGAGAAGGACAAGGGAGCCATGGAACCAAAAAGGTTGAAAACCTCTGGGATGCATGATTCTAGTGTTGCTACTCATCCTGAGACCTTTGGACTAAGGAGGCTGGAACTGTACATGTGACACATATATAAAGATGACACACAATCTGATAACATGACTGTAAAAGGCCACTGGAATTAGCCCAAATCATCTCTCTGTGAAGCACTTAATGTCTCCGGGTGAAGGTTTTCAGGAAATCAGAAGCATCAAATGACCTTTCAATGTTATTTAACATTATGGGATATGGGGAGTGGTCAAATCATACAATAATATGTTTACGTGAAAATGATTTATCTCCTGGAAAGAAACATGGGTGGGAGCAGGAGCACAGGAAGGGGGGGTGCAGAGGGTGCAGTCTACCATAGGTGTCATTCCTGAGGGGTGGCAAAATGGCACACCGTGGGGGCGGCACTGACCGTAGGGCCTGGCCTGCAGTGCGCCAGAGCCACATGTCTCTCCTGGGAGTGAAGCGGTGGCTCGGGCCCCATGCTGCCCAAAATGGCAGCGTGGGGTTTGTGCCTGCCAGGCGGACTCTGTTGGCAACTCGCTGTGCAGCCCCCCTGGGCAGATCGCCATGTCGCCCCCGTGCGCAGATCGCCAGGGTGCCTCCATGCATGGATAGTCAGTGCTCCCCCGTGCACGAATCACCGTTCTGCCCCCATGGCCGGATCAACGTGCCGCCCCCACAGGCAACTCTCCGTGCCTCCCCCTTGGGCGGCTCGCCCCGCCCCCGCCACTCCGGGTGCTGGAGCAGCTAGCTACGCCCCTGGGTGGGAGAAAACTTGTTTAAGATTCTGAGAAATAGTCATTGTTTCAAGTTCACAGCAGCCTTTTCAAGTATAAAGTTCACAAAGACCACATCACACAATTCAGGACTGTCAGTCAATCAAAGCAGTTTTATAACCCACCTTTAGAAAGCGACAATTTTCTAAATTCTGTGAAAAGATCGTTCTTTTTCTCTCAAAATTTAGAAAATTATCCCCTTTTAAAGCTTCCCCTTTCCATTCAGCAGCTTCTAATTATATTACTAGGAAACCAAGCTGAATGGGAACTATAAAAAGAGATGAAAAGGAACTCTTAGATGTTCTGTAATGTCTCATTATAATGCGGTACTGGAGAGAGGGGGGAACACCCCATTTTTTCCATTGGCTAGAGCGCTTCACACCCATAGATGACATCTAGTGTAAAAATATCACAGCCTTATCATACAACAATGGATTGCATGGTGGCATGAAGGCCCTTACCTCACCTTCAAGCCTGAGAGTGTCTCCTGCATCCCAGGAGGGGAAGGCAGTAAGGAGGGCAGCATAGTGCCAACGTAGTAGCAAGAGCACCAAATTTGCTTGGCTTGTGCATTTGCACTGCAATCCCCCCCCCCACACACACACCTGTAAGTAGCAGTGATTCATCTGCCAGAAGGTCAGGTAAGCACCTCCACCCCCATCTCCCAGCATCTCCTACAAGTTCCATACTATGCTTGAAAACGCAGAACACCATCAGCAAGAGCCCATTGAAATGAATGGGAACCATGCAAGATCATTACGGTAAACTTATATAGCATGCTTTACCAATGCTCAGGACAGGAGCATTATGCGTCTAACAGTAAAAGCAGTGCGTACGCTGAAGGAAAGCCACTTCCGGCCTGCCCAGGAGGTGGGGTTGCGGGCTTCACGCCCACCCCCCACGTGAGCAGGGGCTGGTTTCAGCCCCCACGAGAGCAGGGGAATCCCGGCCGTGACCTGCCCTATTTAGGGCCGACGCAGAGGGGGCTCGCCCTCTTTTCGCCGGCTAGCCCTCACGTTTCCCCACCCTCCCTCCCTTTAGGTAGGCTTTAGGTAGGTCTCTGACTTTGCTATGGACTTCGGTCTGTCGCCGCAAGGGGCATGGTAGGAATTTTTCCCAATTGGCAATTTCAGCCATTTGGTTTTTCGCCTACCTCGTAGCAACTCGTCACAACTTTTCGGCATTGGCGGTAGGCATTGGTAAGAAGGGGTTAAGAGGATGTGGGGGGGAGGAACGCCATCACCTCCCCCCAGTGAGAGAAGGGACTCCGGGGGGCGTGGCCCTGTCCGAAGCCTATGGAGGTGAGGGCCAAAGGCACGCCCCAGAGTAGTGACCTGGGGGAGCTCCTAGTCGACGTGCCTCGGCGGGAGACTCCCCCAATATAGTGTTAACCCTTCCCCGTGTCTCCAGCAAGTGGGCTGGAGACGGATAGTCGTTAGGACCAATACCTAAGCCAATGCCTCTCATTCCTGAATTCAATAAAGTTGTGGCCTAATTCGCCCATTTAACCTTAAACTATGGTGTCTCGTGTCTTTATTTATCCTGGTGGGGGGCGGGAACTCGCCACGCAATGATTGTAATAACACATAGAATCCCATCCAGATGACTGTTTCATGGGATTTGGTATTCTAAGTCCACAGCTGAACATCAATATTGCAGTATGGAGGAATGTGTGTGTTAGGAAGATTCGCATAAATCAAAGAAATTGAAAGCTGGAGAAGGATATATACTCCAGTTCTGGAATTAATTTTAACATTCTACAGAATTCAGAAGGAGTAGAGACATACCAGGAAAAGTTATCATATTTTTTCCTTGCTCATACCAACATTGAATAAACAGGGTAATCACATACAGGGTGCATTCTCTATCTGTGTCACTTCCCTGCAAAATGCATTTGTGCAACATAGCTGTGTCAAAACTAGTGATGGGCAAATTTCTTAGTGCTGGACACATAGATGAGTTTAGCACAAAAGGCTGCCTTATATTGAGTTAGACCACTGGTGGTCCATCTAGTGCAATTCAGAA